TTCACCCCAAAATATGGCACCTGGTATGCTATTATTTTAAGTTAAAGGTTTTCGGAGAACAGCACATGACGGAAGCAGCTTTACTCTGAATTTCCCTTAACTGTGTAAAGCCTGGACCTGCCAAAGAGGAGTACATTTGTCTTTGGTCCCCTCCCTGAGGTTTCACTAACTCACCTCATGTCACAGGAAGAGAGACTGAGGAAGGTCACGAGCTCCTGCTGTCTCCCTGGCCTGTTCATTCTTCCAAAGAAATATCATTGAGGAATGATAGTCCCCTTGGCCCATGCGTTCCTCCTGAGGCTCATTTCCTACCCCTCTGATTTGCCTCTGTCTTCCTAGTTCCCTGTCCTACCATGCAGAAGGGCACAGGGCATCTGGGCCTTGCTGGACCCCCAGGGCAGTCCTGTGATTTACCCCCGTGCATGCTAACAAATCCTATGCCCCTTCTCCTGAAGGATCTATGGTCACTTCATTACAGAGAACTCTAGGAAGGTGAAGGGTGAGCTCTCCCCTGCTCCTCCGGGGAAAATCAACTCATTTGCAGCAGAGATGAGGAGAGATGGGGATTTCATCCAGGCCCCTGCAGAGACATATTACGGTTTACCATCTCCATAGAGTGTAGTAGCAGGTCCCAATTTTTCAGGGTTTAGATTGTCACTCGCAGCCCATGTGAAGGGCGGGCTCCAGGCCCAGTGCTGCCATCTGCCCACCCAGCAAGCAGAGCCTGGGGGCTGTTCCCAGACAGGGAGGCTGCTGTCCTCTGCTCTGAGAACGGTCACCAGGAGTGAGCATCCTTCTGAGGCCACCGATTCATGAGAGAAAGTGAGTCTTTAGGAAAATGAAAGGCACCTATTTTTACAGGCAGGCTGGCGAGGCGCTGGGACACCCGTGGCTCAGCCCGCCGGGCCTCGCGGGGCTGGCAGCGGCCGCGCCTGGCTTACCGCCTCGGTTTCCTGGCGGCTTCCACCCACGCGCTGCTCACTGCGCGCTCCACGGGCTTTTCTCGCCGTCTATCCCAGCTGCTGCGACTGGAGGCAGGAATCGTGCAGCCTGTTCTTTCAAGCAATTCTCTAAGTCTTGCATAACCATCCTTCATCAAGCACGTGCTCTGAGGAGGAGGAGGGGCTCCGAGGGAACAGCCACTGTCACACGTGGACCCCGGAACATCTCCCAGAAAGTCGGGCAGAGGGACCCTCCTGGCTCGACTCTCTTCAAGTTCACTGTGCCTGAGGTCTTGGTGGAAGAGAGACTTCATTATTTCAAGCAAACGACTGCAGAGGCCGAGTGCTCTCACTTGCATTCCATCACTGGAGGCTGCCCTGCTGCCAGAGCTTTTTTTTTTTTTTTTTTTTTTTTTTTTGTACTTGGGATTGAACCCAGGGGCGCTTTACCAATGAGCTGCATCACCAGCCCTTTTTACTTTCTTTATTTTGGGACAGGGTCTCATTAAGTTACTGAGGCTGGCCTTAAACTTGTGATCCTCTAGTCTCAGCCTCCTGAGTCACTGGAATTATAGGCGTGCGCCACTGCGCCCGGGTGTGCAGATCCATTTTAAAACACTTTTAAGACGGACTTTTGTGGGCTAGGGATGTGGCTCAGGCGGTAGTGCGCTCGCCTGGCATGCGTGCGGCCCAGGTTCGATCCTCAGCACCACATACAAACAAAGATGTTGTGTCTGCCAAAAAATAAATATTAAAATTCTCTCTCTTTCTCTTTAAAAAAACAAAACAAAAACAACGGACTTTTGTATCACATGATGACCTCAAGATGGCAACCATACAGCAAGGACTACTCCCCTCCTTTTTTTTTTTTTTAATATTTATTTTTTAGTTTTAGGTGGACACAATATCTTTATTTTACAATTATGAGGTGCTGAGAATCGAACCCAGTGCCTCATGTATGCTAGGCGAGCGCTGTACCACTGAGCCACAACCCCAGCCCCCCCCCCTTCCTCTTTTGATAAGGGAAACTGAGAAGATAAAGGCTGCAGGAGATGCATGGCATGGTTGCCTGTCTGGACCATTCTGCCTGCACTGCGTCACCAGCATACCCCGTGTCTCTCTTCCCATGTGGATGAAAGGTGACACTGGAGGCTGGGACCAGAATAAAGACCTCACAAAGAACCACCGCATCTGTTGTCTCTGACTACTGATGTGAAAATACCATTGTATCAACGCAAGGATCCTGACACAGGGAGAGGGGATAAAAAGCCAACGGATGCTCTCCAAAGATAAAACAGACACGTTCTTCATCACAGATGAAAGGACAGGACTATTCGCAGACCAGCAAAGGACATGTGGTGGCCTAAACCCACATTATTCTCCTTTAGGGCTTTATTAAAAAAAATTTATTTTGGTAGTACTCGGGTTGAACCCAAGGCCTCATAGACTGAGCTAAATCCTCAGTCCCCCCTTGTTTTTAAATTTTGAGACAGGGTCTTGCTAAGTTGCCCAGGCTGGGCTCCAAATTGTGATCCCCTGCCTCAGTCTCCCAACTATCTGGGCTTACAGGTGTGCAACACCATGTCTGGCTTGGGCTAATAAGAATTCTTTTGAGCGCAGTTTTTCACCTGGACATTAGAGAATTCATGCTTAAAAATTTTTAAAAAGGCAAAACCAGTGCAGACTGGCAAAATGCTTCTCCCAGAGTCACACATCACTGGGTAAAAATCTGGCAGAACACTGAACTAATTTTACCCAGGGCACCAGGAACTTCTTTTCTAAGTGCCCCAGGTTCTTTAAATTTTTAATATATTAATTTTGTGGCTCACCAGGAACACAGCTACGGCCCTAACAAAACATTAGCATTGAGAAGAGCCCCAGAGATAACTAGCTCTTTATTCAGCTGAGAGGGGGGACAGCTAGAAAGGCTAAGTGACCTAACCAAAGTCACTGGTTAATGAATTATAGATACAATATGTGAATGCCACTCTTCGGATGCCATTGCACAGGGCATCATCCACGGTGATAGCATCAAAGATGTGGCTTAAACAGACATGTTCACAAACAGGCAGCCCTAGACAGGCGTCTCCACACAAGTCACACTGGGAATGGGCACAGAATTGCAGGCTCAAGCAACAGGGGCCTCATAAGCCCTATGGCAGTTCGTTTTTGTCCTCTCTTGCTTCTCTGGATTTCACTTCTTAGGAATGATGGTTCTCCTTATTTCAAGAGGGACCTTCTCTAGTCATCTTTACCTTTTTTATTTTCTTTTTGTACTGGGAAATTGAACCCAGGGGTGTTCTGCCACTGAGCTACAACCCCAGTCCTTTTTGAGATAGGGTCTTGCCAAGTTTTTGAGGCTGGCCTTGAACTTGTGATCCTACTGCCTCAGCTCCAGAGTTGGTGGGATGATGAGCTACCACACCTGGCTTTACCCATTTTTATTCCAGTCATAAGTCACTTAAAACAATTCCATAAAACAGAAATAGTGCTATAAGACTTATAGGCTGTGACAACCCTCTGGGCCTTTGAATGATGATAAGCCTTTCTATTCCCAGTGTCTAAAAACCCCAGAAAGGGGCTCCCAACGGGCATAGGAAGCAGGGGGACACCATTTCTCCCTTGGAGAGCCTTTAGATGGGCCTCAACAGGGAACAGAGCCAAAGCGAGCAGGACGAAAGGAGGCCCTGAGATAACTTGCTAGTCTGCCTCTGCTGTGGAAAGAACGTCACCTGACATGGCTGTGGTTTATCCCAGAGTACAACTGGAGTAGTTTTGTCATTTTAAAGTTTTATTTGTGAAATGTCAGGTCAGATGGAAGAAATCACTGGATTACCAAGGGGAACGAAGGGATGGGGCCAGGAAAGACAGTAGAACAAATCAGACATAACTTTCCTACGTTCACAATAGGAATGCACCACAGTGATCCCCACATCATGTACTACCACAAGAATGAGGTCCTAATTAGAATAAGTTGTACTCCACGTATGTATAATATGTCAAAATACACTCTACTTGCTGGCATGGTGGCGCACGCCTGTAATCCTAGCAAGTCAGGAGACCCAGACAGGAGGATCAGGAGTTCAAAGCAAGCCTCAGAACTTAGTGAAGGCCTAAGTAACCCAGTGAGACCCTATCTCTAATAAGATAAATAAAATAATAAAAAGGGCTGGGGATGTGGCTTGGTGGTTAAGCACCCCTGGGTTCAATTCCTGGTACCCGCCTCCCACACACAAAATACACTCTATTCTCATGTATATCTAAAAAGAACAAATTTCAAAAAGAAAGAAAGGAAGAAATTGCTGGATTGGATTCTCCTCTCCCTCTTCCCAAACACTGCAGCATAAACCTCCAAGTCCTGGGGAGCAATAGGCCACTCACTTACCTTAAGACCACCTGCATTTCCTTTTAAGTTTACACTGGTGAAAGTCTGAACAATGAAATTTCCACATTCAAGGTCCAATCCCAATATTCTCAAATGGCATGAGTATCCATGTTTGACTTAACCCAATTCAAATATTTGCTCTAGATTTCACTCAGTATTTTTTAAGCAGTTATAAAGCAAAATGGCCTAATAGTTTCAAGTAAGTGACTTTTATTTTTCTCGGACATTTCACAGTCAATTTCTACATAACTTCATACTTTCTCAAAAGAATTCACATTTGGTAAATAAATTTCTACCCTACAGAATTCATAGCTGGATATGCTTCAATATATGCACGAGTTACTTTGCTGCTTAAAGAATTATAATAAAGAAGAAAAGTCAGACAATACTATAATCAATAAAAAGCAATGTGTAATAAATTACAAATGTCATTAAACTCCATTCCCATAACCAATTCAATCAGAAACTTTTTCTAGAGGTGTTTCAATATTGCCAACAAAACCTGCCAGAGTTCTCTTAAGGGCTGGCCTGAGCTAATTGGCTTCTCACTTTTAGAAAACAGTAGCTGTGCTGCAGTACTTCATACCAAAGGGCATCATGCAGCACTAAGGCCATCAGTACTCACAGCCCGGTGTGACCCACGGTCAAAATTTTTAAATGAGGAGAAGCTGGTTATCTCCAAGCTTCCTCCCTTGGCTGGTCTGGCTGCTGGCCTCAATGGATCTCTCCTTCCAAGACCTAGCTTCTCTACTTGGGTTCGTCTGCTTCCAGCTCAACTAGGGAAAGGACACCCATGCTAAGCGCCCAGAGACTGCCAGATCCAGCTGCAAGATCAGAGAGGACCTGGAGGTGGGGGCCACCTCTCCCTGCCACTCAGCAGTAAGGACCGATGAAGGCTTTCTTCCTTTTACCATGACAGGAAGGGAACTGCAAACCTTAGTCTAGGAAGAAGAGTCCAAGAGGTGTACAGCTCCACAGAGGGTTTTTCCAATGGAATACATTTGTTTCTCAGCAAGTGTTTTCAGATTTCTGACACTCAGTAAGATTCAGGACTGGAGCCCAGGCTGTTAGAATGCACCTGTCTCTATGGCTTTGCTGCCAAACATATGCTGCCAAACAGGAAGCTTCCTAGCACGGTGCAGAGCAGAACGTCTACAGCACCACACAGACTCAGAGGAGGCAACCGACTGGGCCAAGAGGAAAATGTTACAAGGAGCCGAGTCTGCTCAGGGACACATTTGCTGTGGTTTTGGAAATTCTTTTAGAAAGCAAATGGCAGGTAATAGTTCTATGTTGATCAGATTTTACCAAGTTGCTTATTTATAAATCAGTCATGTCTAAATCGTGCATTTGGGACCACATTACTAGGCAACCTGAAGCCTTAGCATTTCTAAACTATGTCAAGTTATTATGACTCCCTGGTAAATACTACATGAACTTGTGGGCTTAGTACACCTCAAGGACATCACCTTTGCAGAAAAAGTGAAACTGATCATAAGAACTTATTTAGGTAATTTGTTAATAATAAAATTTTCAAGAGGATAAAATTTTTAAATGAGGAGATGATCTTTGAAATTCCACTCCTTAGACATCCAGTTATTAATATGAGGCTGAAAAGAATGTGCATCATCTGGAATTTCCCACCCATTCTCCTTTTGACCACAAGTTCAAACAGCAGCCAGGGGTGAGCACATGGCTTCATGAGTGAGTTTAGAAGGAAGAGTTCTTAAATAAGCTTGGGGACACAGGTGCAGGTAACAGCGAGATGTTGACCAACATCACGCCTCTGGCTTTGCTGCCAACGTTCTACACATAAAAGGGACACAGACTGCTCCATACTTGCTCATCACACCAGGAGACAGAGGGAACTTGAGACACAAAAAGCAAGGGGACAAGAATGCTTCCCAACTTTTTGTGGCCTCATTATCACAACCTCAGGAAGGTTTTATTAATTCAAAGTTTACAAGCAAAATCACTGCTTCCCTCTCCTACCGAAACAAAGAACAAACGGGGAAAAAGCCAATGAAGGAGGCAGCAGAGGGGTCACTTAGAGCACTCAGGAACCACTGAAGCTCCCCTTGAGCTTTTCAGATACAAAGCAGATTGCACTGTTTTAAGGAAGTGAGTAACCAGAATCATCCAGCTGCTGACCAAGAGATGCTGGCCTTGTCTATTTTCTTCAGTCTCTAAGTAAAACAAAAGCAAATTATCAACTACAATTCCAGATGGTACTGAACCTATTCCATACCTTAAGCATCTGAAGTGTTTTGCCCACTCGTTTAAGCGAAATCTGGCTTGTGATTAAAGTGTATGAGTCAAACTGTCCTACCCTTTCCCCTGACTTTCAAGTCTAAGAAAACAAAGAGTTACATGATTAACTGCTTGCACCAGATGCGGCCTGTGCCTCAAGCCTTTTCGGTCTCACCCAGCTGGCTTGATGCCTTGTGGGAGGCAAATACACCTCCTCTTATTTTTGTCTTCTCTGTGACTAAGACACTCAAGGGAGGATCTATGAAGCCATCCTTGTGTCGCCTACTCTCTGACTCGACAGGTGTCACTCTGCTCATGCATGTTATGGCACCCCTGATCTGGCAGCAAGTGGGATGGAGGGAGGTAACAGTGGAGTCCCACACAATCATCTCCCCTGCTCTGCCCCGTGATCCAGGTATGTGCTTGTAGGCTAAGGAAAGGGGACTAAAAGACACTTGGAATCGGAGGTCCTCAATGGCGCAGACATACATAACCTGTGCATGGACCACAGGTTCAAACAGCAGCCAGGGGAGAGCATGTGGCTTCATGAGTGAGTTTAGAAGGAAGAGTTCTTAAATAAGCTTGGGGACACAGGTGCAGGTAACAGCAAGAATTAAAAGAACCATTCAAATCTCTGGAAGATATGCTTCCTGGGCTATATGTCTGGGTGATCAGAGAATGTTTCTAGGTCACTGCCAGAATGACTGGACCCAGACGTCAGAGATGCCTGCAGCCTGGCCCAAGCCTGAGGAGCCCTGCTCTTGGTGGCCTCTATGAACAGCTGGGTTTGCTCTTTCAACTGATCTAGTTCCACCTGAGTTGCCTGGTTCTGACGAATCAACTCCTTGGTTTTCAAAGTGATCTCCAGCAAACCAGATTTGTGTAGGACTACCAGGGTGTTCTGAAAGCGCCTGTGTTTGCTCTGCTGCTGCTCTGAAAAGAGATCCGGGCTGCGGCAGAGGTGCTCTGCAGCCCACAGAGGTGAGCTGTAATGGGCTGACAGTGGCGAGAGGGGAGAGCTGCTCTCCAAGCCATGCAGAGTACTGTCTGAGGCACAGACAGGACTGGCGGGGGACGCGAAGGTCAGGCTGGGAGCTTTAGCCACGTGGCTGCTGGACACTGGTTGAAGAGTCTGTGGACTTCCACCTGCCACCAGGGAGGGCACACCCTGCAGGGCCGAGTCTTCAGCGAGTTTGGCACTGGCTGGGGCCGGAGCGGAGGGACTGGACGGGGCCGCGCCGGTCTTGGACGGCTCGCTGGAAGACAAGCCAGGCCCCAGTCTCTCGGTACAGATTTTCTTCTGTATTCCACTTGCTCCTCTTTCTTCTGGGCTGAGGGAAAGGCCCCTTTTGCCAGGGTGTGGGGCTATTTTGGTATAAGAATTCAGAATGGGCAAGTAGTTTCTGGAGTCTGATTTTTTCTCACTGGCGTGACTTGGGCTGACTGGCGATGGCACAGGTGGGTGAAGGACAAAGAGCTGTGGCTGTGCCGAGATCACTTCAAAGGAGGGCTGGACGGTCCACGATTGGAGGTGGGATGAGCTGCTGCCCTGCAAGCAAAGGAAGAGAGCAGCTTATTGGGGACAGAGGCGCACGGCTCCTCAGAGGGGAATGGGACACTCAGATGGCCTGTGCACCCCTCACGCGGCTGGGAAAGGGGCTTGGATATCCACTTGTGTCTGACAGAACACCTTTAAAAACTTTTCCTAAGGGAAAACTTGAGGAAATATCTATTTTTCTTCCACTCAGAAAAAGAAATTGTAGGTCAGTGAAGTAGCTGAGACAATAAAAATATGGATATCCAATTTCCTCACGAATGTTAAAATATGCTCATCTCAAGACTAAATGTGACTTTACACCACAGTCTTCATTTAGGTCTGCCTGGAACCTCCTATATTCGGAAATAACTTTGGTCACATGTGTTGTGATATATTAGACATCTCTGGTCCGTTTAAAAAGCCACTTAAACAATAACAGTTACTACGTGCTGGTGGCTACAACAGGCTGGCACTGTGAGCAATGTTTTAAATGTGTCACCTCCTTTAATCCCCACAATAACCCCATCAGTTACCACTTCCCTTCATAAATAGAAAACTGAGGCTTAGAAAGTTGATATAACTTGCTTAGTCACCAAGCTACGAAGTGATGCAGAGGATTCCTCCTCTTTCTAACTCTAAGACCCATCTTAACCAAAGGCTGACTTACCTTTATTATATTACTCTTCAATTGTACATTTATTTTTAATTAAAGTACTGATTCAGATGAAAACTAACAGAGAAGGACATGACTACTTGTCTCTGATATTTGAAAGCCAATCTAGCTCCAATCTGGTCCAAAGATCCCAGTACAGATGAAGCTCAGCGGGTGAGCCTTGGAGGTTCCCAGCTTTAGTGGGTTATGTGGTGGAATCTGATTTATCTGGAGCCATTATGGACCACCTTTCCAGCATTCTGCACACATTTCTGCCTCCTGCATGTTGGACAGGAACTTTAGCCCAACTACAACTCCTTTTCAGTACAAAGGATGAGACCATCTGTACAGCACATTCTGGAGCCCTCTTGGTATTCAGATATGTCTGGGTTGTATGAAAGCAAGAAATGGAGCCCTGGAAACCAGTTTTCTGACTGAGGACATCTAAAACCCAGGGTCTTCTGAAAGGTCATCCTAATTCAGCTTAGTTGGAGTCAAAACTCGAGGCTGTCCCCCAAATATCCCCTGCACTGCTTTTCCAAGATAAGTTTCGTGGACTGTTCTTCCTCAAGTTGCTGTTAATTTCCTCTAATTACTGCTTTTACAAACTGTCTTATTCAGATTGAAGACACCTAAGGGAACACAGAACAAAAGTTTAGACTTGGACAGGACTTCAGAATCATTTCCCATTAAGCCTTCATGTTCGAGATGAAGAAACAGAAGTCCATGGTGCCTAACCTTGTGCAGGATCATACTGTTTCCTGGCAGAAATGGAATCACCCTCAAAAGAAAAATTCCTAAAATCAAGTAGCAATAGTTAAAATATTACACAACAGGGAGCTGGAGTTGTAGCTCAGTGGCAGAGACACTTGCCTAGCACATGTGAGGCCCTGGGTTCAATCCTCAGTACCACATAAAAATAAATAAATAAAATAAAGATATTGTGTCCATCTACAACTAAAGAAAAAAATTTTAAAAAATATTACACAATATACAGAGATTTTTAAATCATATTATTATTTTTGGAATGTGCTGGATTCTAAAGTGTTTAGAAACAAAAACTAAACAAAACTCCTAGACTCTCCAGGAGGCCAGCTTGTCCCTAAGCCGCCCATCTCCTGATAGAGCCCAGCAGCCTTGCCAGCAGGTCTCTTTGTCTGAAGAATGTGGCTCTGCTGGAAAAGCCTACTTACTCCTGGAGCTACCAGCCCAGCCTGCGACAAAGAAGGCTTAACAACACAGCCACACAAGGAGTGACCAGGAGCCAGAGTGAGCGGCAGGGAAGAAATGAGTGAGGAGAAAGCACTGGGCAGCCTTGGTGGGGTCGGGACAATCTCGGGTGGGCTCCACTTTCTTCCTGTCTTTATTTTCTTTTCCTTTCAATAAGAGATTCCAGCTGAGACGTGGTTTACCAAGCAAAATTCCTTTTCAGAACACCCTGGTCTACCTTGTTTATGTTCCTCAGAAATAACCAGGTAACAGTTAAGACACTAAGGCTTCCTGACATGCCACAGACATGTTCTTCTAACCTCTGACACAGATGGAAAGATCAAGCTAAAGCCGGATTTTGAACTTCATGATCTTTAAATAGACTCATCAATGCCCCCATGCAAGAGCTGTGAGATATTTCAGAGTAAGAAGGGTAAGGTTAATTGTCCTTTAGTTTACACCAATCTTTTCCATTCCTTGAATTTTTCTACTCTAACTTATGCAAATTTATACGATTGAATTCTCAGTTTCAAATACTGGAGCTTAAGTTAGATTTTCATCTGATTCTTTTCTTTCAGATTTAGACAATAATCACATAATATGCATAGTTTTGCAAAAAATCCCAAAACTGAACTTTTCATCTCCACAAAAAGCTACGTGGATCATTGGTAGAGCCGTTATCAAACTGAACAGCTGCCAGGTCACTGATGCCATGGCTTTGATCTGATCACTAAGAAAATGCTCAAAATGTGACATGAGAGACAGGGAATCGCCTCTTTACTAAAACAAATAACGTGTCTTACATATCTAAATTCCCAGCACAAATCCAACTTTGTTTTTACCCTAGACTCTGCCACATGTTAGAATGTACCAGTGAGGTGATGACATTTTGGCTTGGTTCCTTTGTGTATGACTAAAGCACTTAAGAACCCTATGGATAAACTACAAACAAATAAAGTCGGGAACAGTGGCACAAGCCTGTAATCTCAGTTACTGGGGAGGCTGAGGCAAGAGGATTGCCAACCTGGACAATTTAGCAAGATTTTGCCTCAAAATAAAATGAAAAGGTCTGGAGGTGCAGCACAGTGATAGAGCACTTATTTATCTTATTTATTTGTTTTGCATGTGTGAAGCCCTGGGTTCCATCCCCAGTACTGAAAATAAATAAATAATAAAAACCAAAAACACCTCATTTTTTTGAGTCTGTCTCAAAAATGAGACTATACATCATGACTCTTGTACATTTTATTTTTTCAGTGCTAGGGATCAAATCCAGGGCTTGGGCATGCTAAGCAAGTGCTCTACCACGGAGCTACATCACCAGCCTCCTGTGCTCCTTTTTAAAATAGTGTCAGCAATTGAAAGGTAACAAACTCTACCCAGGACAGAAAAGTACAGCTTGGAATGGTTCTAGTGCCTCTTCTGAACTCTCCTTGGCAGAGAAGGAGAGTTTGTACACAGGAAGCTCAGAAACTTTCATCTGCAAAGATTTTAGGCCACATCCATCCTCCTTACCTGTTTGACCAGAACGTTCTTCATGACGACCATGGGGGACAGTGTAGGGAAGGCATTGCTGGCAGCTTTGGAGCTCTGCCGTGGCCTGTCTTCTCCGCTCCAGCCTAAGGCGCTCAGCATGTCCTCGGACTCCATCTGCTCTGCGGAGCTCAGACATTCTGAGCTCCCATCTGGTGGGCAGAAGCATGGTTAGTTCATGCAGGCTCTAAGCTAGGGCTCTTAACCCAGCTCCTGAGATATAGGAACCCCTGAAATTAAAAGGAACATCTGGGACAGGCGTTTTTGTCCACTTTTCTGGGGTCTTTAGTTTTCATTGGATTTTCCATGGCCTCCATAATTATCCCTCCCAAAAAAGTTCAGAACTGTTCTTAACTCCCTTCCTTCTTCTCTTAAAGGCAAAAATCTGTGTCAGTTAGAGTTCATGTGAAAGTAATCATCGGGTCTACAGAGAAATGAGTTGAAGGTTTCAAAGTTAGTTCATAGCTTTGAAGAACCTGATGCTGAGAAGTGAGCATCCATAATTTTTGAGAAGTATCACTGAGATTCTGAGTCTGCCCCTGTTGATGAATGTCCTTCTAATCATAATCTTTGCCATGCTGCAGAAAATGCAGTTGTTGACAGCTGTTAAAATCTGTTAATCTCTAATTTATATCCATGCTGGAACTGAAATAGCTTCTTCCTGAATTTTCCAATTATAAAATTCTGGATTAGTCTGTCAAAGCCAAAGTTTAAATGTTTCTCTTCTCTGTTGTTCCTTCACCCTGTTAAGCACCTCCTTTACTGGCTGAACTTACCAGGAATCCTTCACAATAAGTGAAAGCAGGATGCTCTACAAGCCAAAGAGAATACAGGTCCCTATGTAACGCCATACAAAAAGGATGTACTTAAATATCTGCTGGCGTAAACCAAAAGACTGTTTTTTTCTGCTACTGAGGAGTCTGGGATTCTGTGAATTGCTCATTAAGAATCTTAGAATAGGGCTGGGGATGTGGCTCAAGCGGTAGCACGCTCGCCTGGCATGCGTGCGGCCCAGGTTCGATCCTCAGCACCACATACAAACAAAGATGTTGTGTCCGCCGAAAACTAAAAAAAATAAATAAATATTAAAAAAAAAAAAAAATCTTAGAATAGCTGTGGCTCAGTGATGGAGTGCCCCTGAGTTCAAACCCTAGTACCTACCCTTCCCCCCCAAATAAGAATCTCAGAATATTGATAAGGCAAGACTGGAGTGTAAATGGATAAATAAATGCAACTGTCAACAACTGCATTTTCTGCAGCATGGCAAAGACTGTGATTAGAAGGACATTCATCAACAGGGGCACGACTCAGACTCTCCAGTGATACTTCTCAAAAATTATGGGTATCTGGGTCCTACCCTTGATCCAACTGAACTGATTTACCTTGTTCCTAGGTAAGTTTATTTTGAAGTAATCCAAATGTGCTCTAGTTACCAACTATTAAGCCATACAATGTGTACACCCCACACCTGGACCTTGCTTCTCAATGCTGTTCTGCACATGAAGCACAAAAGCAGGGGCTCTTGGAGAAACAGCTGATTCTAAGACTTTGGCAGGGAAGGGACAAGATGAGCCTGGACAGCTTATTGTCCTAGAAAGCTAGGAGGTGCTCAAACACTAATGGGAATGTCAAAAACACACAAGGGCTACCCAGATGGGTCTCCCACTGACCAAATATGGGACAATGTATTAGAAATAATGATATTAGGGCTGGGGTTGTGGCCCAGCAGTGGCTGGAGGCATTCACTGGGGCTATGTGGGGGGACATAATGAGTTCGATTATTTTTAATACCATTCTATGTCTGAATAATATAGGACTTCTTTAAAGAACTGGCTTAATGAAGTTGAAGTTTTTGGAAAAAGTACCATATAGTCAATAGCACTGGGAACTACAGATAATAAAACTGTGGATAATGTTTATTCTTTGACTTTTCTAAGTTTCTAAGCTTCTCAATGAGTACGAATTACCTTCATGACAAGGAAACCAGACAAAAAAGCAAACATGATGTTAAAAGAAAACGGGGAAAGTTTCCCAAACCTGTCTGATTATATGACAGATACTTATTTTAAAAACCCCACATTCCAAGGCCTTCCCCAGTCCCTCGGAATCAGCATCTCCAGAAGAGGGTCTGAGGATCAGTGTTTTAATGATGGCTGCAGGCGAGCCTGACAACGAGGCAAGACTCTGAAACAGTGCTATGAACCCTGGACTGCCTTATCCCTGGGCAGCAACCAATTCCTCTTACTCTAATCCCTTGGTCAGTTTCTGCTCCTCTATGAGTAATGGTCTATTTATACTTTGGCTTCTCATTCAGCATGACTACGAGGTGAGAACACATCAATCTCAAGACGGGAAAGTTCTAGTTTTCCTAACAGTTGCATTTCTCACTATACATGAGTAAATCAACAAAACTGATCAATTTGTCTCTGTGAACTTGGGTGACATAAATCTTCCCCTAGAGGAGGTTTCACTCTCAGGATGCTGATTCAGCCCCAATACTCTGGCATCAATCCTTGGCATCCCCTGAGCCAAAAATGTTGATATCAATTCAACATTTGAGGGTAGTTCAAGCCACTCCCTCAGGCGTGGAAATGAAAAGAAGCCTCAGCAAAAATTAAGAGATTCATAGGGGACGCAGCTAGCCCTTTCGGGTAAGCTATTAAAGAAAACTGTTCCACTTTCTGGTCTAATAGCCTGAAGGTAGTATTGGGCAGGTAACTCTAGACCAAATACCAAATGACAGATATGAAGAAGGAAAGATTGTTGGGAGGAGTGGGCTTTTTAAGCATAGTAAAATAACTTTCTTAGCAAAAAAATTATCTTAACAAATTGTAGTCATGCACCACATAGTGATGCTTTGGTCAATTACAGACCTATATGTGGTGCAGCCTGGGTGTATAGTAGGCTACCCCATCTAGGTTTGTGTAAGTATACTCTGTGGTATTCACACAATGATGAAATCACCTAAGGACGGGTTTCCCAGGACATATCCCCCTCGTAACATGATGCCTGACAGTACAACTTTTAAACTGGCAGATTTCAAATTTGTTACACAGTGATAACTTGACGTAGTATTTTTTTTCCCCTGAAATGTATCTGTTCCTATGAAAAAGGAGCTAACCCCCATGGAATTATGAGCATTCAAGTATTTTTTTTTCCAGTAACCATTTGCAATACTTGGAAATGTAAGATTTAAAGTTGAGTCTTTAGCTGGGGATGTAGCTCAGAGGCACAGTGCTTCCCAGCGTGTATGAGGCCCTGGGTTCCTTCCTTAGCACTGCAAAACATAAATAAAGTTGAAAGCCTAAATTGAAGAAAAGATGTCAAATCATTCTTTCAGAACTAATCCCACAGTTACTTTGACTGTTACTCTGCCATATGGAATCAGAATGACCATTTTGTGAGAACAGATAGTCATTATCCTTTGTGTTAAAGCTTCTCATTCTTATCACACAAATGAGTTTTAGGGAGAAAATTTTTCAGGCACATCATTCATTATCATGTAGAAAGGATAAGATATTTTTAACCTGAAAATCCAGAGTCCTTATCTGACTCTGCAGCCACCACGCCAAGTTGACGAGTCCCTTTTTTCATCTCTGTTCCTCTGCCTAGCTTGGCCGAGAGTCTTCTGGGGCTCTCTCTGGATGGGATTTTCCTCTCCATGTTTTATTAGGCTGGAAGCGAGTTCCTGGTACTCTTTTCATCTGGATCGCCCTATGAAAAACAGTTACATAAGAAGTCAATGCCCAGAGAGCTGAAATAGGTAATCCAAATGGTGCATGAAGTTAAGAGTCAAGAACACAGTCCTTGCCCACGTAGGCCATATCTTCTCAGTGGACAAAAGCTTCGAGTTTACTAAACAGAATGGTTTCCATCCAAAAAGAGATCCACAGTCCTCCTGCTGCTGTGTAACTACATTACAAATTCAAAGCACACAAACAACATTCTGTGGAAGCTTTGTGACTGCTAACAAAGGCACATTTGATTAGGCTTTTGGAATGGGTACCCAAATCAAGTCACTCTCCTCCTCCCTGAGAAGAGGTAACATCAGCCAGCGGGCTTGTTGTCCTAGTGTGCACCTGCAGGCTCCTGACCTACTGCCATGGCCCAGAGTGTAGTTTCTCACCGATAATTCTCAGTTCTTTGGATAAAGAACTGAACAGAGTAAAAACAGTTTATATATGCATGCTACTTTGGGGCTAAAAAGTGTTTTTTAGGGGTGTAGTATAACTCAGTGGTAAAGTGCTTACCTACCATGAATAAGGCCGAGTTCAATCCCTAGTATCACAAAAATAAACAATCAACAATCCCCAGCACCACAAATAAACAACAACAACAACAAAAAATCACTTTTATATACAAATAATATCATACATAATAAAGTGCTTATATAATACAAAGGTACATAACATGTATTACTATTAATGTTATTTTACTTGAGCTTCATAATGTCTACATCAGTTGTGATCCCATTTTACAAAGAAGGAAGCTGACATTGAGATAAGTTACAGTCAGTCATTTAAAAATATCTACCAAGTGCTCATGTAGAACCAGGAATTGTACTAGGACTGGAGATACAAAGTGGATAGGACAGACATGCTTACTTTCTTCTTGGACTTGTGATCTAGAAAGAGAGGAAGACATTAATCAAGGACTCCGGCAAGTAATGACTACTTTGATAAGAGAAATGAAGGGTCAGGACTAGTAGTCTGGGGGACTAAGGAAGTGCCAGGTAGCTGGGATGGAAGGCTGAGTTAACCAAGCAAAAGGGGACAGGTGGGGCGTGCTGGTGTGTTCTGGGCAAAAGTCCTAAGGGAACAAGCAGCTTGGCCTACTCAGAGCTAAATGGCAGCAAGATCACAGGGAGAAGTGACTGGACTGGGGATTGAGCCCAGGATTGCTCTACACTGAACAACACCTCCTGCCTTTATTTATTTATTTTAAGACAGGGTCTCACTAATTTGACTGACACTAGGGAGTTGTGGGGACAGAAAGGAAGGGTCTGGGAATCCATGTTGCAAAGGCTGGATGTTAACTTAACAGCAGCGGAAAATCACTGAAGTATTTCAACCAGAAGAGTAATGTGATCAGATCTGTGCTTTCAAAAGCATTTTCGATGAGGACTGAGACTAAAGTAGAGAGAGAGAGAGACAGGCAGAGTGGCATGAGATCATTTGGATGCTATCGTGACAGTCCAGGAACATTACAGAGGTGGTCCTGGAGGAGACGAGAAGGGAAACAGGCTGACCTGCTGGGACTCGGTTATATATGGGGTGGGGAGTACCATTTTCTAAGCTAGGAAGCCCCAAAAAAGCACAGCAGGGAGCTGGGTGGAGTGGGCAGGTGTGGCGAGGCTAGTTCAGTTTTGGTCATCTAGAGACTGAAGCGAGTAGAGATGGTGTGTAGGAAGAAGTCACATGTAAGACTAAAGCTCAGGGAAGAAACCCAAGCTTGCCTCAGTGACATACAGCTAGTCTGCAGAGTATCCGGACTTGGGCTAACAGTGTAAGAATGAGACCAATCAGCCCTACAAAGGGTCAGCAGAACGGAGAACGTTCAACAGTTAGCAAATATTTGAGTTACGGCAGAATGGGAGCTGTAAGGCTGGAATGTTAAGTGCACAAAGGACACCACAGGAATAAAACAGAAAAAACCTGGGATAATAATGAATCTGGTAGGTGTGAGCAAGGCCTGGCGATGTTTCCATTCGAAGTCTATTCACCACTCCATCCCATAGGACTAGTGGAGAGAAGCTTGAGTCCCAAACAGCACTGTGCCTGGAACACTGCGAAGGGCCACGCCTGCACACTTCTGCTGATACAAGATCTAGCAAGGAACACCAGAGGAAGGGCTCACAGTGAAGTTAAATAAGACAAGAGCAACCCTCTGGCTCATACTTTTACACTCAGTTGATGTGGGCTGAAGGGAACACAAACTGGTTTGAAAACAATTTCAAGTAAAAGTTATTTTGCCTCATACCTAACTCATTTAAGGGGACTGGCTTCCTCATTCAATTCATGTCAAATCAAGACTCTTTCAGAGGTCACACGCTTAATCCTATGTGCATAAAAGATGAACAATGGCCCTGTCACATCTTGCAGAGCACTAGGCAAAAGCAATGTCGATTTGACAGCTATGAGGTTTGACAGCATGGACAACCCAGTGTAAAAAGCAGACTAAAATGTAAAATTGTATCTCTAATTAAATCAGGATCCTTTTGTATAAAACCCAACAAGTGTGCACAGTGTAATTTTCCTTAAATAATACTGCCCAAAAATGAATAAAAGCCTTCTTCAAAATGGACATAGATGTAGCATGTGGATGGGTCTTCAGACTGACGTGGGTCTCACCAGGCCGCTGATCCAGCTTAGGAAGGTAGCTCATGTTAGTGGCAACTAATTAAGAACCTGACAAAATTTCACATTATCTTACTAAACAGGAATTATTTTACAGGTATTTTAGAGAAAGCATCCCAATTTAGTCTTCTACAGTTCTCAAGACAAGACACTGGAAGAGGTCTTGCCACCGTATTGTCAAAGCATGACTAATGGAGCCACAGAAAACACACAGGGATTTATTCTGACTCATTGAGAATTTGCAGGATAATATTGATTGTAGAATCAAAATCCTGAAATACTGACAAACACGTCAAAGTGTATTAAAATTTTAGGTCCTGGGGAGTTGGTGGCAGTTGGAAAGAATGTATAATTGACTTCAAAGCATCAATGAGCCATGAACATCAGACCCAGGTGTACACAGCACCCCATGAAGTCCTGGACTGGGGAGCGGAGTGACAGGGTTTCCTACCACCACTTCTCAAACTGGGGGTCATTAAAATCTCAAAGCCTGAAAACCTCAGTAAGTTGCCAGATTTTTTTTCTCCTGCATATTATTTTAACGTTAGATGCTCACAAGCTGAGGAGGAGTTGAAACTGGATTACTGAACTCGCCCTGGCTCTCCTCTCTCTGCTTCCAGGTGCAGCCTGGGAAACGGCTGTACAAACATCTCAGACCCCAGGTACTTACTCTGCATTAGAAGTGTTAATTTAAGCTAATTTAAGTAGACCCTAATTGGGCGTTTTATGGATGTATATGTAACACATTGTCCAAAAGGTTCCCACAGAAAACAGTACATGCTAAAATTCACATTGGAAAGTTAATCAATAAATACATGAATTTATATAAATAGACATAAAATTCTAGCAAGTGCTGACTTATATTTTTGTACTTCTTACATTAGAGTCTAATTATTTGTCTCTTCGACCAAGGGTTGTTTTTTCATCTTTGCAACCACAGCCTCCAACAATGAGCATGTGAGATGTTCAAGAGAATAATAAATTCCAACCAGTCTCTGTCCTGCTGAGTCTCTGACAGTCCGAGCAGCTTTGCTGTCAGTGAAATCCTGGAAGGGCAATACTCTGCATTTCCAAACACCGTGGTCACCTCCAGATCTAACCTCCATGTCTGGTCCTATGCAGGAAACAGATATCTAATGTACTCTTTATTCTCAGGTGAAACCTCAGGGACAAACCCACCAACCAAATTAAAAGTTGGTATAATCCAGAATATCTATAGAGATTCGAGTTTATGATACAAAGGAGACCCAAGAGGTACAAAGAAAGGGTCTGACATGCAGCCCTGTCTCTCTCCTTTTATAGATACTTGGCAACATTCCTGAGAGCTCACGTTGCTTTTAAAATGTGTCACGTGTACAACATGCGTGCAGAGAGGTGTAAGGTGAAAGCCCAAGCAGAAGCTTAAATACAATAAAGTGATAAGGCCATACAAAATAAAGAACTTACAGCCACAAAACTATGAGTAATCTCAGAATTATAAATATGTTACTAGGTTTTCCCTGGAATCGTGTTCTTCTAGTCTGCATATTCAGATACACCATTCTGGGAGAATGTCTGTATATTTTAATGAGGGGAAAACTCCCATCTTCCTGAATCTCTAAAATTCATCTTCCCCTTTACATTCATTCCCATTCTCCAACCTGGCTGCAAATTCATGCCAAAGATCCTGAAATCCGATTCCATAAAATTTTCCTGTGTTTGAAACCAGGTGTGGCATTCTCCATCTTCACCTTTCAAAGGGATCAGCTTAGCCAACTTCCTTTTAATCCTCTCCTGCAAAAAGAGTTCACACTAACAGCGCCCACCTATCCATTTGCACCAGCCCACACTGCATCTGTGCCAGACAGCATGTGTACCCTCCAGGCATCCACCAGCCTGCCAGCTCAGCAGGGCAGACTGGGCAGACCCTAGGACGGTGCTGTGACTGGCATACCACCAGTCTCCCAGGACAAACGCCCAGGCAATGCGTACTGCCAGCGCCTGGGTAATAACAAGGAGCCTGGCTTTGGCCTGGGCCGGGACCAGAATTACCCTCAGCCCACTCACTAACCACCAACTCCTTACTTGGCACTGCTGCTTTCTTCCCCACACCCCTACCCCTGGCATCACGCCTAGCAAGCTGGCTACTCAAGAGAAATAACCAACAAAACGGGGGACAGCAGGGCGTCAGAGAGGTCAGCACACCTGCGTCCCGGACCCAGAGCGCAGCTCCTAACTAGGGGTCCAGGACCCTCACCCTGTTAGCTGCTCTCGCGCCCACTCACCTGCCCATTCCCGGGCCTTCTGCTCACAACCCAAGTCTGCCAGGCTCCCTGCCAGCGCTGGCCCCCAGGGGCAGACCCGGGCCACCTGCCCTAACGAACTCACTCCACTTGTTCTTGCGCAAGCCCCCTCCCCACGAACGGCCCCCTCCCAGCCCGCGAGTCTCTTTCCCACGCAGGCCGGCCGCTCCCGGGAAAACCAACTTAATGGGGGCAAGGGTGGTGCGTCCCTCTGCTCCCGACATTCGGGCCTCCGTCCCCCGAAGGTCCCGGTTCTCCCTCCTGACTACCCGCTTTTCTTCCTCATTCCCTTACTCCCACCTGCTTTCCCGGCGCTCCGCGCCCAAACCCTCGCGGGGCGCGCCATCCCTGACCCCTCCCCCGGGCCGAGCCCTCCCTTTCTCACCTAGGGCCAGGGTCGCTGCTCCACGACCGGCCCGGCGCGTCAAGTGGCGCATGCGCGAGCCCGGCCCCACAGCTCCATGACAACCCCGTCTTCTCCGGGTCTCCAGCTATTCCCCCGGCCTCCCGCCCATTTCTCCTCCCCCCGCCTCCGCGACGGCTGTCGCCAGCCATGTGACCCGGCTCGGAAGACTCGGCACCATAGAGATAGCGCGCTGTTCTCCTAGAGGGGCCCTTGGAGATGCACTTTCCCTGCCTCCGCCGGAAGGGACATCGCTTAGAGGCCCGTGCTCTCTACGGCGGGCGGGCGTTTCTATGGTTGGTTGCTGAGGCCCCGCCGCCATTTTGTAGGGGGCCTGGCGCTCTGGGCTGTGTGGGCAGGCCTTGGGGCGGGGTTTCGAGGGGCAGGGGTTGGCCGGCCTGAAACCCGTATGGCACCAGGTGTCATTCGTCTCGTGTGTGCGGTGCCGACGCCGTTGGGGGTGGGGACCAGGACAGGCCCTGCCGCGCGGGCGGCGTGGGAGGGAGCAAAGGAGGACGGGCTCCGGTCCCATTTTTTGCCCTGTCGCTGCTTTGCTGGCCTTCCCGACAGCCCCGAGACCATGCTGCAGTGAATATTTTAGTTGGATGATTTCACGTCCTTTGATGTGCCACTGCCCAAGAGGGTGGGTTTTCTATGGCTGCAGTTCCTCCTGCCAGCCCTTGGCGAAGTTTCCCCGGGAGCCGCTGAAGAAGAAAAGGGCGTCGGCATCGAAGATGTGTTCAGTGGATCAGTCAGGGTCACTCCCTCAAGAAAGAATTTCTTCGCAAAAAAAGAGAAAAAAAAATAAGATTGCTGAAGGTCAGGGCCGGTCCTGGAACGGCGCTGTCCAAAACTAGTCACCGCGAAGAGCTATATAATTAAGTGAGCAGAGCTTTTTGCCTAGCCCGCGCTAGGCCCTGAGTTTCATTCCCCAGTACCGCCCCCAAAATAAGTAAAATTAAATGAGAAAATTCAATTTCAGTCGCAAGAGCAGCATTTAAAGAACTGACTAGCCACATAGAGCTAATGCCTACTTTATTGGTCAGTGACTGTTTGCATTTCCAGCATTTCAGGAAGTTGTATTGGACAGCACTGATCTAGGTGACTGTGGGGAGTTGTCCTGCATTGGTAATCCAAGCTTTTTAAAGCGCCATCAGGTCATAGTTAATCTCTTTAGTCCTCTAGATACAGATAATGCTAATGTATTATTTGGTATGAGTGTACTTATTAACATAAGCTCTGTCAACAAATAACAGTTGAATGCCTACATAAGGTTTGTTTTGAGGATGGAATGAAAACAAGGATTTGGCTGCAAAAAAAAAAAAATCAGCAAGGGGCTTGGGAATGTGGCTCAAGTGGTAGCGCGCTCGCCTGGCATGCACGGGGCGCTGGGTTCGATCCTCGGCACCACATAAAAATAATGAAATATAGATGTTGTATCCCCGAAAACTAAAAAAGAAATATTTTAAAAAAATCAGCAAATTTTGTAAAAAAAAAAAAAAAAGATGAATTTCATGTAGTTTGATCAAACTGAGGTGAAGCAGGGGAAAGTTGAAACACAAGAGCTCCTGAATTTACTGATGCCGAGAATAAAATCTACTCTCTGACCTGCAAGCTGACCAAAAACCTAGGACTTGACACTGACAGAGATTCTGATTAGGACAACCTAGCTAAATCTACATGTGTATATCACCTGGCATTTGTTTCTATGAATTGCAGATGCTTCTGTGGGACTGCAGGAGAAGCAATTTAGCTGCCTCACCCAAGTTAGATCAAACTCCATAAAATTTAGTTTTCCTTTTCATTTCATTCACTTCTTTTTTTTCCTGAACCAGGGATTGAATGAACCTAGGGCCGCTTAACCACTGAGCCACATCCCCAGCCCTTTTTTGTTTTAAGGCAAGGTCTCACTAAATGCCAAGGGCCTCCTAAATTGCTGAGCTGGTTTGACCTTGCAATCCTCTCCCTTCATCCTCTGGAACCCGGGGATTATGGGCTACCACACCTAGCTCTAGCTCGTTCACTTCTTTCTGGTGCAAGGTGGGCAGGCAGCTGAATCCCACCAGCCAGGATCCAGGCAGATTCTCTGTTGTGACTGCTGGTAACCATGGTGCTATTTATGACCAGTTTTTGAGGGAACTGAAGCTTATGCACCTGATAACATAACTATTAAACCCAAACCCGGGCTGGGGAAGTGGCTCAAGCAGTAGTGCGCTCCCCTGGCATGCGCAGGGCACTGGGTTCGATCCTCAGCACCACATAAAAATAAAGATGTGTGTCCACCAAAAATTAAAAAATAAATATTAAAAAAATTCTCATATATATATATATATATATATATATATATATATATATCCTGAACCCAAAACTGTGAAGCCCCTATTAATAGCATCTTTTTGAAACAGACTAAAAGGATCTTTGCCGTCAAATAACTTAAAATCTGACGTGGGAAATAAGACATGCTGTATAAGCAATATGAGAGAGAATATATGAATGCTAGAAGATTCTGAGCAAAACAATAAATGGAGAAAAAACTATTTGTCTTGATTTTTTTAGCCTGTTGTTGGAAGAGACCAGCAGATAAAGCTTTAAGGAAAGGCAAAAGTTGGATTCACAGTAGTAGAAGTGGATGGGGGCCGGGTGAGATGGCCGGATGAGTGGTTTGGAAAGCTGAGACAGGAATTCAAAGCCAGCCTCAACAACAGCCAGGTGCTAAGTGATTCAGGGAGACCCCGTCTCTAAATAAAATACAAAACGGGTGGGGATGTGGCTCAGTGGTTAAGTGCCCCTGAGTTCAGTCTCCCCAAAATAAATGCACACAGGCAAAAAGGAATAAATGAAACAAGCGAAAGCATAAGGGCAGCCTCATCTTGGTCTTCCAAAGGGGCAAAATAAGTCAGACTACTTGATTCTACTTCCATATGAGCAGGCAGCTATGTTGTATCAACAATTTGAATTTTAAAGACAATTTTGGTGTTGGAACCAAATAAATCAGACTATTTGCTGGTAGGCATAACCTTCATGGTTATTTTACCATGTGATTCTGTATAACTGTATAGAATAAGCAGTTCATGAACATGAATAATGAATTATTTTCATATAGCCAAATTGCTGTAAGTTTATTTTTATTTCTTTGTTCATTTACCAAGGCTTGTAAATCAGCATCTCTATTGATCATTTCCTGGTGACACAAATTCTTTAGTCTTCATTCTCTCATTTTGATTAGGCCAAGGTCCCTGTGAGGGAGAGCAGATTTGGGGGCACCATTCTTATGGGGCTTCATGCAATCCCAGACCTCACCACTGCCATTTGTAGTTCAAGACTCATTTTGCCACCACCGTTGCCAGCAGAGGGAGACATGCACCCTCAAATGCTGCACTTAGGGGTTTGCCAACAGATTCCCTTTTCCTTTCTCCTGTGAAGGAGACCCAGGTCAGAAACTGCAAATGCACCTAGCCTTCTGCATTCAGTTGTTACCTGCCCTATCCATGTGAAATTTCGAGTTTTTAATCCTGCATAAGATACTCTGAAGAGTTAATCTTGTATTGAGTTCCATTCGAAGATATTTCAAAGTATACACACTACGTGGCATCTAACTTAAAATATTTATAAATAATTGTTCAGTAATTTTTTGGGCTGGAAACAATAGTATGTGTTATAATCCCAGCTACTTAGGAGGCTGAGCAGGAGGATCAGTGGAGCCCAGGAGTTCAAGGCCATCCTGGGCAAAACAGCAAAGTTCAAAAAAAAATTTTGTTAATTAATTATTCTGATATTTAAAATCAAATTTAAAATTAAAATTGTTTTAAAGTTATTTAAAAGTAATTAAAATAGTATAATGGAAAGAAAAAGTATTCAAAAGATACAGTTTAAAATCCCAGTTCCTATCAGTATCATTTTATAAAAGAAGGGGCATTTGACATTCTCCTGATATAGACAGGAAGATAGCACATAATTTAAAAATTTGATAATTTTGGCTTTATAAAAACTCATTACATTATTCATATTTTTCCAGTTTTGCTGAAGAGCAGTGAAAACGCCACAGGACTGGTGCCAGTTCTTGGACCAGCATTTGAGAACCATTGATTTCATTTTTCGGAACCTCATTTAACCATCTGTAAAATAGTTGTCCTCTAGTTCAAATCAGCACCTGGCATTACTTTGTGCTGACCTGTTTGTAAAGCCTTTAAAGAGGACTCAATGGGCTGGGCCTGGTGACATTCACTTGTAATCTCAGTGGCTCTGGAGGCTGAGGCAGGAAGATGGAGAGTTCAAAGCCAGCCTCAGCAATGGTGAGGTGCTAAGCAACTCAGTGAGACCCTCTCTCTAAATAAAATACAAAATAGGACTGGGGTTGTGGGCACACCTGGATTCAATCCCGGTTACAAAAAAAAAAAAAAAAAAAAGGACTCAATGGTCTCAATGGTGGTGTCAGTGTGGTATACTCTAGAGTCCCAGAGTCATGGGTCAGTGAGAGAGAAGGTCAGGACCTCCAACCTGGGTGCAGGTAGAGGGATCCACAGTCCCGTACTGGCAGAGGCAGAGGTCATGACAACAGGAGACCTGACCTTTTTTCTCTTAGCAGTCAGCTGGCAGGTTCCCACCATCAGGGTTAGTTCTTGGCTCATTTCTTAGGGGAGTATCTGCAAAAACAGGAACACGAAAAACCTAATGCTGAGGTTACAGTCAGGATGTTAATACATACACACAGGTTTGATTCCAGGGGCAATGGAAACTCCTCCCAAATCACTCACTTTCTCCCTTGCCAATACTGAAATTCCTTTAAGTGTAACTGCTTGACACCCAAACGCTCTGCAACCCAAGGAAAATTCTTTCATAACAGTAAGTAACACAGTGCTTAGGACATGCCAGGTACTGTCCTAAGTGATTTGCCTGCATGTACTCATTTGACCTTCCCTCAGTCCTGGGAGGTGGGTGTAGCGTCCTTATTCTCCTTTGACAGGAGGAAATAGGCCCTGTCACTTGCCAAGGTCACCAGTGGTAGTTGATGGAGCCAGGATTTGAATTCCAGACGAAATGTGCTAGAGTGGAAATGAGTAATGCCACACCCTTTCCTGCTGC